GATCGCGAGAAAAAAAAAAAAATGCAACCTCCCAAAATAAAGAGCAAAGATTGCATTAGGAGCGAACAGCGCTGCAGAAATAGATGGCAGCTTCGTGTCAGTGAGTTTGCATCCCCCTTCCTGATCCACGAGCTGGAGTGATTAGAGCCCTGGAAGGGAATTGTTACTCCCGTGGAGAAGTCCCCTTTTCCTGGCAGCCGTCTGCACTGTACACGCTGGATGCCTCTCTCCATCCACCCCACTCACTCTCTTCTCTCTCACCTCCTCTCTCCCTCTCTCCTGCATTGTTTTTTTTTTTTTTTTTTTTTTCCTTTTTAGTTGACTGAAACAAAACAAAACAAAAGGGCCACTGGATGTCTGCCTTCTTGGGGGGTGAGCCAGACAGACTGACAAACAAACAGACCCAACTGTGTTCGGGGGAGGGTTTCTCCTCCCGTTTTGCCCGGCAGCAGCAGCATGGACGTGTTGGCTAGTTATAGTATATTCCAGGAGCTACAACTTGTCCACGACACCGGCTACTTCTCAGCTTTGCCATCCCTGGAGGAGACCTGGCAGCAGGTGAATGATTTAAATTACTTGTGTAAATCGTGCGGTGGCGGCGGAGACGCCGGGGCTGCGTTGGTGTGGGCTTCGGGTTTGAATTTTTTTGGTTTGTTTGATTTCCCCCCCGTTTTTGGCTGTTTGTTGTTTAAAATGTTTTCGGAAGCAGTCATCCGCGTTTACCTCTCCACCCGCCCCCTAACCCCGTAGTGTGCCGAGCGGAGCAGCCGGGCGAGCTGCCTGCGTTTCAGTCACCAACACACATCCCTGCGCACACGTTGTCGGGCTCAGTGTCCCCCAGCAGAGCCCTGGCTAACTTCTGGGGTTCGGAGGAGCCGAGTGGGAATGTGGTTTAGGGTTTTACGAGCCGTGGCTCACAAGATCCCGCGCCGCGCCCCTCCGTGCGCGGGCTCTACCTGCTCGGTACCTTAAATCAGGTTCATCCCTTTCCGCTGGTGCTGACGACCGTCAGGTTGGGGGGGGGGTAGTGTCAATAAAGAATAGGAACTTGATTTTGAGATGGGAAGGTGGGCAGCAGCTAGAGGAGCCCAGCGACAAAAGATACTCAAGGATATCTCGGAGGAGCACGGAGACGTGTCCGTCTAACGCTGACCGTGCACTGAGGGTTTCCCCGGTGCAAAGCCTCCAGAAAGAAAACACCCTCACCGTGTGTCCTTGTTTCTCTTTTTTTGTTGTTTGGGGTCCCTCTCCAGTTAGAGAGCACAGCCTCCGACAAAGGACAGTGTGTGCTTCCATGGCTCTGACTTTGTCTTAGAGGACTAGTTAAGAAACTCCTAGGATGCTGAAGGGCACCAATGCCAAGTTGGCTAGGCGTCCCGGTGAGGGCAGAGTGGGGCTGGTGACAAGTTCACTGGGCTTTGTGAAGTGGAATAAAGTGCTGGTCAGTGAAAAGTACTAGAGATCTGCTGTGGAAACTGGTTTTCTCAGCGAAGATTAGGAGCTGCTGAGGGGACATTCTGCAGGAAAGATGGTGGGTGGGAGGTGGGGGACATGGGTGTTTTTTGAAAATTCTACAATGTGCACGAAAGAAAGTCCAAGAAAACGGTCTGGATTTACACATCGGAAGTGTGGACTTGCACAGTCCGTCTTGGAGAAGCCCGCTTGCCCTTGGGGAGGGCTGTGAGAGGCTTGGTGTGTGGCTGCTCTTGTAACTTCTCCGCTCTGTGACAGCAGCTTGTTAAGGCTAATGAACGGTTGATTTTCCTCTGCCAGGATCCAAAGCAGGATTTGCCAGTTTGAGGCTGGGATGTAACAGTTACTGCTTTAGAGAGTGAGGTTTGGCTTCTGGTACAACCAGCCGAGTGGTAAAGCTGATCCTCTGACTGTACCATTGTTACTAGTTGCTGCTGACCCTGATTAGAGGCTGCCAGTTTTCCTCCAGGTATTGGCCTCTGGTGTCTGTGTGTCCACACATGCATTGCTGCCCAAGGAGGGTGGCAGATATCCTTGACTTTGTCTCTCTCTCTCTAAATGCGCACACAGTTCTCACGTTTTTAGCATAAGGTGTTTCTTCAGTGAATCCTTTCTCCCATCCTTAACAAGACTATCTCATGAAGGGTCTCAGGACACCTTCTTCCTCCTTTTATCTCACATCCTAATTAAACTGAAATGCTAGAATTTCATTTTCTGAAATAACCTTCATTTCACACTGTCAGTCCACTGGTGTCAAATGGTTGGGTATTAACAACTGTCTAGACAGGTTAGGAAGGGAATCTGTTGATTTAGTCAGCCTGCCTAAGGCAGCTCTTGTTTGTGACTAACTGTTAAACAGTGTTGGAGAGAAGAAACTTGGCTTTATTTGTTTCAACGTTCCCTCCTGATGAATCACACAACTTTGTTTTGGTTCAAGTTTTCATAGTAGTAAAGCCTGCTTTGGGGGAAGGCCTCTCCAGAGGAAACCTGCTTTTCTAGATCAGGTTAGACCATCCAGGAGAAAGTCTAGATCTATAAAGAAACATCATTGGATTGATAATTAGGGGATGTAGTAGATCTATTGTTTCCTCAGAAGCCTTCTCAGCTTTTCCTTACCCCCTGTCCTCCCTCCGGGCTCAGTCCACCCCCTTCAAGGAACCTCTTTCATAGTTTCTATCAGCAGGCAAAGGAATTTTCCCCCCCTACAGCTCCCTCTGTATGTCTTGCCCTAACCCTCTCCAACTGCCAACTACCCTCATCTTAAAACCTTTTGCCAAGCTATGTCAGAGGCATACACATAGTCCATACCGAAACATAACTTGTGAGGAAGCACTCCTAAATAGCATATTGCTCCGAGGAGCTTTCTGCTGGGGACACTATAGTCACAACTGCTCTATATAACGGTGACTCTGACTCTTAAGTTCATACTGATGACAAAACCTCCAACCTCTATCTCTTCCTTCCTCCCTTTCCCTGCCCCCCTTGCCCATTCTTAGTGTAAGGAGGGGGGATGGTTATATGCAACTGTTGGTTCCAAATACAACCATCAGATGGTGAAATTTTGAGACTCCTTTGCTCAAAAAGGCTCAAGAAGGTTGCTACAAAGAACCCCAGGCAGGAGGAAGTTTCCTCATGCTCTGGAGTAATCAGATTTTGGAGGTCAAATACGGACCAATTATTAGATGTTCTGAAAATGAACAGTGTACCTGGCCTTAAGGAGATGAGCAAAATACAGAGATTCCAATAATCTGATTTGATTTCATTTGTAGAGAAAGAATGGCTTGGATGATAAACCCAAGAACATCTGTGCATTTGAAAATTGAAGATGAACTATTTGGGGATTTTATTTTAAACGTAGGGTCTGGGATAACTGTCCTGCTTAATAGTCAGTGAGCCTATGATGGCCCTCCTGTCATGGATTCATATTTTGACATTAAGTTTTCAGACAATGATGCCTTATCCACATATAACTCCAACTCTGAAAATCATTTCTAGTATAATTTTAAAATTCAGATGGACTTCCTGCATTAACTGCTCTCCATTCCTGGGCTCTGACTGCATACTTAAGCACTTGGCCCAAGTAACATCATCTCTGCCTGTCATGTAACTATAAATTACACTGTGCTTATGTGGTCTATTATTTTATGGAATTCAGCTGACGCACAAGTCTTAAGGCTACCAGCCTTAACCTCTTTGGAAACTTGCAGGAAAATTTTCCAAGAGCTGTCTGAGCAAAAGTAGGAAAAAGTCAAAGGTGTGACAGAAGCTGGAGTAGCTTGTAGGGTACTGCCTGGTGATGGATAAAGGGAGAGCGGTTCATGAGTTTTGTTGGCAATAGAAGTCATGATTTTTCCGGACCCACCGTTGACTTATAAATAAAAAGGATTTGATACAGTATTCTTGGTTGTTTGTCTTTGGGAAGCTACAAAGATTTTTAGAATTTGAGTATGTTCTTTATACCCAGCCTGCTATTCCATAAGTGCAGGTCAAGTAATGATTTGCACTTAGCTATGCTGAGTCTTATTTGCACTTAGCTGTGCTTCATGCCATTGAGGAGCGTGGTATGTTTACTTGAAAACTCTTATGGAATTACGCTTGTTGTTAATGCTGATTCATAATTGGCAGATGGGGTCAGTTTCAGGCCTCCCTTTGGCTCAGAGAAAATTTTCCACTGCTACTGGAAACAAATAAATAAATCATAGAATATTCCTCCCTCCTCCCCCATTTCCCCATTGTTTTACACTAATGGCATACTTGGCTACTGTAAGAACTAAAACGTCCCCATAGCACTGCAATTTCAACTTGGTTGCAGACATCCTGAAACACTTTTACAAGGGCCTTTGGTATGAGGCATCTCTAGGGGACAACCTACAAAAATGGTTGCCTTCCAAGAACAGCCTCATGGTACTAGGGATGGAATTGGATCTGTGAGCTACATTGCTTCTCCCTCTATAAGGTGATCCTGCCTTTGCACACTGCCTTCTATAGGCCGGAGCAGCGAGAAAGACAAAGCACACTGGAGGGTCCCTGCATCCGCAGGTTTGCCTCTCTCCCCAATTTGCAGAAACCCTTGTCATGAATTAGAATTTCTTGGCAACAGCACCACCCAGGGAAATTTGTAGACACAAAGGAGCCTTGCTAACCACACTGAAAGGATAAAATAGCTGCTGCTTTTAAAAAAAAAAAAGTGATTTGTGTGCTCTTCAGTTACCATAAATCTATGTATTTTTTTATTTGAAACAGTGTCTTGGTATATGAAAAAAAAAATTAGAACTGCCCGTTATCCAAATTTTCTGTGTAAGGATGCAATCACTAAATAAAGGTAGCTTTACAAATGAAAGCACATGTGAATGCAATCAATCACACACTTAGCCTTTCTTTGATAGATTCATCCCCGTGTTCTTTTCAATAGATACATCTTTGTGTAGGTGTAGGGCTTCTCAAACATTATCATTCGGTCAACCTGTTTGCAGTTTGGTATCTCAAAGTGGCTGAATGTCACAATGCAGATATTTTTAATACATCTGTCTTCAGTGGGCGTTGGGGGGGGTTATTAAGGAAGTGGTGACTTCTTTGTTCTCCATGAAACTCCCACCCCCACTTCTTACCCTGACGGAGAATGTGATGTTGGGGTCCAATCCATTTAAAGGGCAGAGCAGAAGAAGCACTGTGACAGCCTCACTCTGAAATGATTTATGTATGGGTATGTCAGAGACCTTCAGCCTTCAGCCTTCAAATGTGGGCTCTTGCTCCCTCCCAGCCCATTCTAAACATAAATGCCGGTGGGGGCTATTTGCCTGTCCACTTAAACGAGAAGAGTTTAGAGAGGGTCCTAATGGGGCTTTTAGTAGCCATTCTCTTATATATCTTCAGATTCTTCCCCCTTCAGAGAATTCCTGTGTTTTAAAATTTGAGTGCAAGAAGGCATTGCAGTCTTCTTTAATCACTCCATGTCTGTTGGGGAAAGAAGAATGCAGTTAACTCTGGCCATCCCAACTGGCTCATGTTAGTAGGATAGCTGACCATGTGGGTTAGTAGATGCCCCCTATCTCTGGAGTTTGTAGTAGCCAGTAAGGGGTTTTTAT